CCCCAAAACCCCAAAACCCCAAAACCCCATAAGGAGTATTTTAAAACAATTATGGTAATTATTAATAATGCAGAAGTTAATAAAATCTGTCACAAAATTGATCAATGCTGTAATACACAAATATTTTGATATTGTTTCCTAATTGTGATTCCTAATGAACTTTTAAAGTCAATCATCAAGATGCAAAGCTGTATCTGAACTTCTAAATTAAGCATAAAGTAGAAGTATCTGGTGTGATCTTACAAAAAAAAGTTATTTAATTGTATTTCTGCTAATAATTTCATCTTTGATTAAGTAAATTCTTGATGTTATAATAATTTAGTTTCAGTATGGCTTCGATATGCTTCGATGGATTCTTCTCAGCAAAAGGTGGGTATAATGGAGATACATCATATGCTTCGATGGATTATTTTAGTGGAACATAAGAAGTAATAGCCTGCGGTACATCTTTTTCGAATGACTTCGTCATAATAAAAGACTCTCAGGTTCTATCAAAGCCTATAGTAGGATTATTCGATAGAGGATTGAATCAAATTTGGATGAAATAAATTTCGAAGAATAGATAATAAAAAGATTTAAATGACTAACCTGAGGGAGCTGAGACATGTGTATTCTCTCATAATGGAGATAATGTAATTGTATAACTCTATAACATGCCATTATACTAAGTGAATACTATAATTATTTTGGATCGAGGGAATGGTACAGTAATAAGAGGAATTAGTTTGCTAGACAAGAATGGATTTTACCTTGGATGGCTCTATAGTCCTTCTCTGAACATTATGCCAGCTAATAATAAAATGATAAATATAATTAGAATGAATGAATAGTCCTCAACAGGATTGACTGTCATGAATTTTGTTCTAATAGTCTATGACCCAACTGAGGATACTTTAGGTTAAATTTAAGCCACTAAATTTGAACACCAAACTGACTAATTTAAAATTAAGAAAATGATAATATCCCCAGATTTGAGAGGTCTATATCTTGGTGGTGGCATTGGTTAGGATGCAACATTTTTAAAAATAGACATATTGACCTATTAAATTGTTTGGAGATATAAGTTTCACAATACTGGATAGACAAATGTTCATTTTGAAGTATAAGAAATTGGCTTAGTCAGGAATTATGATACTGATTTTAACTACCTGCTATTATGCTCTGTTTAACTATCCTAAGGGATGTAGTCTAATTTTATAATTGGGATATTAGATGATAAAGATGCTAGCTAAATGAAATAAAAACAACAAATCGCAGTCATATGGTATTCAAATGATATATCTCGTAACTTTAGATGTATGGATACTTTTATGATCTAGCATTTGTAGCGATATTCTGTGCTCTTTGGCTCTGATTATACTAGTGTGCAAACTTTCATAGTAAATGTTGATATTAAAGCTGCTGGAACTTAAACAATATAGCAAGCAATAATTTATGGGCCTAACTCTGTCTATTTTGCTACGGATGTTTTGTTTTCATTAGAGGGAAGACTTATTAAGTAAGATAGAGCATTGTTTTTAGGATGGACATCATATCTCAGTGGAACCTCAACGCCTTATAAGTATGCATTCATTTCAACATTGCCAGCACAGAAGTATTATGCAGATACTATAAGTTTTACAATTACTTAAGGAGTTTCACCATCTATCATAGATATTAGTGGGTCCTTGAACCTTTTAGTTAGTCCTATTTCAATTAGACTTCAAGAAATAATAATTAAGAGTTAAAATGCTTCAGTACCATATGATTTGTATCCTAATAAAATGATGGGTAGGATAACCTATTCAGCTATTCAAAATAGTTATACCTACAAGGTAGGTGCTGATCCAATATCATTCGATTTAAGGTTTAAATTACCTGTCACTTGTACCCCTACTATATTTGAGTATCAAATAAAAATATTTCCACGTGTTTAACCAGAGAGATTAATAACTTATGATTAAAAATCTGTAAAAATTTATACTGGAGATTAGTATTTTCAGGGTCTATACTAAGTTTAAATTCATGCAATAGCTTAGGATGGTAGCCTCGGAATAGCAGATTTCGAAATCAATATCATCTAGGAGAGAATTAGTTCAATAATTACAACAATATACTAAGGACCTGTATTCTAATAACCTTTATAAAATGTGTCAATGAAAGGAGGAACTACAAAAATCATAAAGTTTCCTAACGTATTAAATTCTAATAAGTCTGCTAAGATTCAAATTAGTGTTTACAATAATCAGTCTACAGTATTGCCTTCATACATTACATACAATCAGAAATAACTTGTATTATAGCCTCCTAAAACAATTAAATTAAATGGAAAGAGAAGAAATCTTGATGAAGTAAATACCGTAATTTATCTGATAACAAAGATTTCAGACTCTGATAATAAATCAAATTAGTATAAGATAACTGTATCATTCAATTAAACATTGGAAACTACTATTGATTAAGCTTTAGAAGCTCAGGAATAGTTATTTCCAAATGCCTCCTTAAAAAGTTTCGATTCTGCTGGATTGCTGATATTAGAATTATAAAATCAATCTTAAAGAAGCAATATAACTTTAATAGATGAAAATATATACCTTGTGAGTGATCCTTATTATCCATGCACTTGGAAAATAGAATCTCAAACAAAAGACAAATTATTTGTTAGAGTTACATTCAGCTAGAACATACAAATGACCTAATCCTCACAAAAGACTAAGCTTAAATTCTACTTTACTCCCGTGTTCATTTCTTAAATCTATTCCAATACAGTTGTTTATTACAAAGGTGAGATAGATATCCCCACATAGCTTGCTGATTAAGAAACTCAGTAGATCTTTTCTGTTGCAAGTTAGATATTTAGTAGCACTGTAGGAGTATTTATTTCAGGAAATTTATTATAAAACATGCTATTTTCCACATCTTTACAGTTTATTTGGGGTTTTATTAGCTCAATGTAGTTAGTGTCATTTGTACCACTTATGAACTTAAATTTACCATCAAATCTTTACTATGCATTATCATTGATGAATGGGCCTCTGTAGTTTAACTTTGTTAATTTGCAAGCCCTAACTTAAAGCATATTTGGCATTGAAGAAGATGACAAATCTGCATATAACTATAATTTTGATTAGTTTGGTTATGACAGCTGCGATGTTGTGTTATTGCTCTAGAATACATTTTACTATTTGACTCTCTGTCCAATTACAATCTTGTTAACTCTATTACTGAGATCCTTAAAATAAAAATCTCTAAGGTAATTTCAATACTAGTTTTAAATCTTAATAGGATATTTTAACAAAAAATTAAGGCTTAATTCATGTTTTCTTTTTCAATAAGATTAATCAACTAGAATTTCCTGCCAATATTTATGTTCAGCATTGTAAACATCATTTAATATCGAACGAGCTCACTTGGTGAAAAATCTTCTATTATTATTGCCTTGATCTTTATGGTATAATTACATTTCACTTAAATACTATATAGATTATCCTACTTACCTTATCTGTTACCTTAATTCTAATCATATTTAAAATCAAGCCAAAGCTCTAATAAAAAGAAGTTGAGGAGATAATTGGATCCTTTTACTATAGACAAAATACAACAAAAAGTTTTTCCTTACTTTTCACACCATTGTATTTAGCAAGAAGGATAATCTTTGCTTTGTCAATCGTTTTTCTTGATGATGGATTGATTTAAGCTTTGATATTTTTTTTAGGATGTTTGGTGTAAGTAGGTTATCTTGTAAAAGTTAAACCATTTTATTCAAAACTATCTAATCAGTTGGAAATATTTAATGAGGCATGCATTCTAGTCATCTCTATTTTCATTTTAACCTTCACAGATGCTTTTCCCTATCAAGCTGCATCATATGAATTTGGATGGATTGTATTAGCACTATGTTTTATCATCTGCCTAGTAAATATTGGTATATAGGTTTATACTGTTTCAATGAAAATTACACTATGGGTTGAGAAGAAAAAAGATGAGTGGAAGTTAAGAAAATCAAAAAGATAAACTGTTAAGATTTTAAGCAGTAATGTTCCTTGGTTAAATTCATCCGCTCTAAGTGTTTCTTAGAATGACTTAATTTCAGAATAAAGAACTCAACGACCAATGACTCCTGACTCTTAATACTTTAGTAGAAGGAAAACAATTCTAAAAAAACTAGAGACTATAATGGAGAACTAGGAAAAACAATAAGAATATTTAAGAGATTTTAGTGTTAGAGAAATAAGTATGGTCGAGAGGGATGAATAAAATAACATGGATATTGAGAGCAATGATTCTGAAGGTGATTTTAATTTCGTTGCATAAAATAACGTAGATTACCGAACCATAGAAAGAGATAGGAAAACTAATGATCTTTAGATTAGTGTCTCAAATCTTAATTAATTTTAGGATTATGCCTAATTTACTTTTAATAATGATGGAGAATTCTTAAAGTTTGAGAATCAGTTTACAACACTTTACATGAAAGATAATTATTATTAAAAGACTTTTAAGCAAAGATAAGAAAGAAAATAGTAAGATGATTCTGAGAGGGCTGCACTTAACAATTAATGAATAAAATTAGACCTTTTTGTACAAAAAACCTATTGAAATAGATATGATAATAATTAATATAATAATTAATTTCATAACTTATCACTGATTAAAGGTTGAATATTATCTTAAGGGGTTTTGGGGTTTTGGGGTTTTGGGG